GCACCTGCCACACCTGCTCACAGATAGACAGGGTCTAGCTGTGCAGGTGGCGGGTGCAGACACAGACGTGGGGAATAGACACACACCTCAGGAAAGGATTGAGACTGAAAATCAAGGGAAGGGAGAGGAGGGACCGGCCGGGCCCATCGGGAGAAGCAAGACACAACGTCGTGGTGGAGATGGAAGAGACGGGGTCTCGGGGGTGCCTGGGGAAGACGGGAGGGGGCTCCCGGTGGGCGCCCACGCAGACCGGAGGGCATGCCCGGGCTTGGGAGCCACGGATGGGGCGGAAGGCAGGTGTGTGCTGGTGCCCCTGGGCCCGTGGGATCTGGGTCTTGGGTATCGTGACGGCCTTTATCCTTCAGAGAACGGGGACACCATGCAGGTTCATGCGTCGTTTCAAGTCCACCAACCTCCCTCCTGAGCTGCTTCTCCCCCTACGCTGCCGTATCTCAGACACCTGGGGGGCTGCCAACTTCACCTGGGCGCCCTGTCACTGTGTTTTGTGCCACGGAGGCCCGAAGATGATGGTCCCTTGGCGGGAGGTATCAACAGCTCCCAGAACAGGGTGGTTCCAGGTTCCAGTCTCCAGGTGAGTGGTGGCCGCGTGGGCGATACCGCCTCTCCTCTCCAGCATCCGTGGTCCTCGCGTGGGACCCTCCCCATCCCCCAAGCCTCAGTTCTCCCTCCGGGAACTCCCTCCTCCCTGCCCAGCTTCTTCCAAACTCACGCGCGGACTTCCGTCTCCCTGGATGCAGGTGAGTCCTGCTTCGCCGGGTGTCTCGGTACCCGCTTCTCCTATCCGCTCATGCCCGGAGCCTTCCGTCCATCAGTGTCCAGGCTGCACTTCTCCAGGTGCCCACCCAGAACCCAGGAGACAGCCCCCGAAAAGCTGCAGTTTCTACCACATCCTTTAACAAAAAAGAACCAAAAAACCCCCCAAAATACCGGTTGGCCGTGGTGCGTCAGCTCCAGCCCCTGAGAGCCAGGAGTGAGTCATTCTCCCAGAAGACGTTCTGTTTCTAAATCAAGGGTGGGTTTTAAGCCAGCCTTTTTCTCTCTCTTGTTTTGCCCTCTTTTTCTTTCACAGAAGGAGACACACCAGCAAGAAGCAGTTTTCAGGATGTCAAAATATTTCACGAGCCACAGAACCTTTCGAAAAATTTCATTTGGGGCTGTGCCACCTCCGACGGGAAAGTCCCACGGTTTCCTCCCTACCTGAAAGGGTGGCTCGTGCCTTTAGCACTAAATCCTCCTGGAGTTGGAGACGCAGGGCTCACGTTGGCCAGGAGTGTGAGGACCCGGTTAGACAGAGGCACGTTTATAGTTGTCTACCGTTATTTGTTAATTTTTTTCAAACGTGCACGTATCCTTTGGAAACAGAAGATTTCAATGCACCAAAAAAAAAAAGTGGACAACGAGTTTGGACTTGCCGTTTTCAGCAGAAAGGCAGGGACATGGGAAGACAACCCATTTGGCAGTCAGCGCTGTTATATAAATTAGCTTTCATCTGTCTCTGTAAAAACAGGAAATCAGCTCAGATGAATAATTTATCTGTTCAATTAGAAAAAAATTGAAATTGGCCCCTTCACACACATGCCCTGGAGACCAAGCTCAAATCATTAACACGGAGATGAGAAGTCAGATATAACATAAAAAAAATAAAGACAGAGAGAGGATAGAATGTATCACACACACACACACACACACACTCCAACGATGGAATTTTTTATTCTCTCTCAAGAAGCTTCCTGATTCTGAAAAGACAGTACTTCGTCCATGAGTCAAGGGACAGCCGTCCCTTCCAAGGACAGCTTCACTGTCTTCTTCATTCGCAAGCACGTCTTTTCCAAATTCTGCATTTGTTCCCGCAACAGAAGACCCAGAGATTTTACAGTCAGGACAAAGTCTGGCCACAGCGGGAAATAAATGCCTGTTCCTGGAGCCCCCGTGGTGTTGAGTGATGCGTCCTGGACGGCAAAGCAGCCAGGGAAGGGAACGGGGGAAGGATGCCCACGGCGTAGATCGAGGTGCGATTCGGACCCACCGAGCAGGGACCCCACAGACCCCGCCCCCCAACAGCCCTGGGTCTGCCCTTCACAGTGATGAGATGCGCACTGGGGACAGGCGGCTTCTCCGGAGCCGCCCACTGGGTGCCGGCCGTGCTGGTCCCGCCGAGCACACCCACACGGTCTTCCCTGCCTCTTGCAAGGGGACAGACAGGCTCTCCCTTCCCTCGTGCGTTAGGGAGCACATCCAGTCCTGGCCCTGAGGCCCTTGAACGTGACCTTGGAAAGATGGTTAAGACGATAAATGTGCAAAGACCCACATCCATGGGATGTGGAGGGGGATGTGGCCCCTGATTCCAGGACAGCTGGACCCAGGGACCCAGGGTAGGTTACAGCCTTCATAGGACCCTCCTCCACTAAAAATATTTTTTAAAATTATATTTTATGACTGTGTTGTTGTAAAGATGAATGGCATCCAGGCTGGGCTCTATTCATATTTTTTTTCTTTTCATTTTAAAAGAAATGAAAGGGAGGGGTGGCTTATAGCTCAGTGCTTACAGCCCATGCTTAACATTCACAAGGTCCTGGGTTCAATCCCCCGTGCCGCCATTAAAACCAATAACTAAAGAAACAAATCTCATTACCTCCCCCCACCAAAAACATTTAAAAATATTTTTTATTGCGTATTTTAGCCATTGTAAATAATCTTGGTGTTAATAGTGGGGGCTGTATGAATCTTCTTGAATTAGCTCTAATTTGGGGGTTGGCTTGATCCCTTCGATAACTCTGTAAGTTTAAAAAGCCAAAGCTCTAAATGTTCTTAGAAACAACGAACAGTATCTATATAAACCTGAAAAAATACATGCAGCATATTGTATATATGTATTTAGATGCAACATCTTATACATGTGCCGTCAAATTGTAACAGTTCTACCTCATGAAACTGAAAAATGAGAAGAAAACAAAAACACCAAAAATGAAAATTAAAAAAATGAAAGTTTACAAGACCTTAAAAACAAACAAACAAATAAATAAAAGAGGTGAAAACATTTTCCTAGGCCCATGAAAGTCCACAGCCCCAAGGCACTGAGAAATTTTGCTTTCCTGTGCTTTTTTTACATGTTGCATTTTTTTTTTAACAGTAGATCTGTGACTACCCTGCGTGGTCAGAGAATGGTTCACATTTTTTAAGCCATAAACTATTTTTTTATTTATTTAAATCTTTTTTGTTTTTTAATAGAGGCACTGGGGATTGAACACAGGAGCTTACACATGCTATGCATGCACTTGACCACTGAACTCTACCCTCCCCTCCCCAGCAGAAACTATTTCTTAATTTAGGCAGGTACGCTACTTTTTAGACCCAGTGCCATCGCACACGGACCGGAGTGCAGTCTCGTGTGAACACAGGTTTTGCGTGCACTTAGGAACAAAGCACAGCGGCGTGCCTCGCTTAACGGAGATACGCGCTTTATCGCGTGGTCTGGAAACGAACCCCCAGCATCTCCGAGGTCTGTGACCTGTATCTGACGATGAAGGCATTGGACATTTTTACATCTTTTACAAGGGGGAGCACACAGGATGCAAAATGGTTTTGATCATCAGGAAAGGTCAAAGACTGTCGCAGAAAAAAGAATCAAGGTGACCCAGGTGGAACATCCTGGAGAATGTGTTATGACTCACCGGCTTCCGGACCCTCTCACTGCGAGGCGAGCTCGGTCCCCCCAGGATGGCCTCCATCCTGCTTTTGTGTGGGTCTTGGTCCTGCCATCCAAGGTCCAGCCCCAGCCCAGATCCTTCCAGAAGCATTTCCTGCCTCCTGCTGGGACCCTGGAGCTGCCTCTGTCTTGACCACCGGCCTCTAGGATCCCCCCAACTTCCAGACATTCCTGGTGGGACTCCCCCTACTGTCAGTGTGTAATTAAGAATTTGGCTTCCCGAGAGCGGCCAGGCCTTCCTTCCAGCTCCTGCGTTGTCACGTCTTTATCACTTCCCAAGTGACAGGAGTGTCTCGGCCGTTCACGGTGAGTCCTGAGAGTTTATGCTGACGGGGTGAGTCACGCGGACCCCTAGGGACTGTAGCCTAATGCGATGACTCAGGATGGGGGCTGGCCACCCCCAAAGATCAAACCCTTGTCTAGAGGGCTGGGGCTTTGAGTCACGAGAGTAGCCCGACCTCTGGGGTCCGGAGAAAGCTGGAGGCGGAGAGTGACCACAAGGGCAGCCAGTCAATCAATCAGTCAATCAATCATGTCTGCATAAGGAAAACCTACTAAAGGCTTTGGACTCTGAAGCCAGGGCGACTCCCCTGCTGGGCACACTCCGTGGGCATTGTCCTATATCAGCACAACCGAAGGACAGGCAAGCATCATATTCAGGAAGCTCCCAGACTTGCAGGTTTCGGCCCTTGGCCGGTCCCCCTCGGGCTCTGCTGCTATCCTAAGTCTGTAATCGTCAGTCTCATGCCTTCCCAACTTCTGTGAGTCAATTTAGAACATTATCAAGCCTCAGGGGGACTTGGGGGGACCCCTTTCCCGATCTCTGAATTAAGGGTGGTCCTGGGGAAGACCATCCTCTCTCTGACTTTTTAGTTTGGCAAATTCACTGCAGTTATGTGTCCGGCGGGTCTTGTTTTAAATACACGGTAAGTGGCAAGAGCCTAGGGCGGGGTGAGTCGGGGTGTCCCCGCGTTGTTTAGTAAATAACATGGCAAAGCTAGGGGAGTACTTGGAAAGAGATGTCAGTTCCACAGTTTTGGAGCGTTCGATCTCTCATCCTGTAGAAGGGCGGGGCTTCTGTTCCCCCTTTCGTCAGAGGACAGCGCGGCGGTCCGTTCTCCATCCAACCCGGGTTGAATTTTCCCGAGTCACAGGCGATGTGCCTGCCCCTCGGAGAAAGACCCACTTCACTCAGCTCAGAAATGGTTTCACTCTGGGGAGATGAGTGTGCGACTTTCCAGAAGAAATGTTTTCAAATCGAAGTGTAGTTGATTTGCAATGTTGTGTGAGTTTCAAATGTACAGTGTCGTGATT